TTTTCAAACGTAAATATCGCTCGACGAGAGTCTACGTATTGCTATTTATAAGTATCAGAATTCGATCCTAATCATTTTATTGAAAATCAAGTAATCGTTGAGTTACCTTTGAAAACAATCGTAACATCGTCGGATATCTTTCGTTTCCTAACTTTTTGTTTTTGCATCCTCCGATATCATTAATCTCAAAATAAACTGTTCTTCGATCGGAATTTCTGGTTCCTCGTCATCAATAAATTTGCTCAAGACAATTGACTTTTTTTTAGTTCCTTCGCCAGCCGGTTGTTTTCCGTACCGTTCGTTTGTAAAGATTTAGCCGGAAGCTTGATTTTTAAGGGAGGTGAGGTCTTTGCAACCGCTGTTGTGAATTGATCGCAGGTAGAACGATTTTTTTCTTCGTGATCGGAACGCCATCCTCCTTGTGACCTTTTCTCTTGACAGGAACCTTTTTGTGCCCCATTTTATGTTAACAGCTATTTGAAATTACATATTGTTAACTTCCATCATGGTTAAATTTTTCGTGGAACCCTTGCAAAATTTATACTTTCGGATCGCTTAGGATTATCGTATAGCGCGGTCTAAAGTGTTTAAAATCTAATCACGTGAAAAGACGGCGTTCATATGTTTTTGTCACGTGCAAGTTTAATGGGTATTTACGCGTTCTTATTGTCGATCAATCGTTGTTTTTTTTAAAAAATGGAATATTTTTTATTAAACGAAGACCCATGTAAATTAACCATTATCACAGCAATGTACCAAAGAATAGAAAAAAATGAATGGTCTGGCAACGAAGCTGTCGAAGTGAAGGTTTTCAATAAAACCAAAAAGGAAGTTCTAAAACTCTTGGAATCTAGGAAGAACGAAAATACGCGTATAGAAAAATTAAAATCTTTCAGAGATAATGAAGTAGGTGATGTTTAATTATTTAGTAAATTAGTATGAAGATATGATTATATTTTGCGTTGTAAAGCAATATTATAATTTCCTGATTAGCCTTATTATAGATTATTTTTCCTATGTGCATATTTGCGTGAGGTGTAATACATGTTATATTGCAATTGGGTTAGAACCGCATCGCACAACGTTATAGTACTGGGGTTTTATTCCCGGGAAGGCATTCGTTGATATATGCTACAATAGGATTAAATAATTACATTATGTTACAGTACCGAGAGTTTTTCCCGGGAAGGCGTTCATATATGATAAGGTTAAACACATTACAGTAACGGTGTCTCTACTTTTCGTGAAGTCATTCGTTGTAATGTTTATATTTTAAATTATATATTGCTATAAGCTGTTAAGCCGATCAAATTAAATGAATATGATATTATAGTATTTTATATTTTTAATAGAAATATTATATTATGGTTTTTAATTATAAATTTTTTATGTAGGCTTCAACTCAATTTAAAGCTCTCGAAGCATTACTAAAAGCGGGCGCATTAATAATGGTATCATTTTAAATAAATACTGTATATTCGAGTAAAATAGACTAAAATTATATAATTTATCCAGTCGGTAGATGTTTCGAATTGGAGAAAAGATGCTGATGAAAATATAAAAAATCTCAAAATAATATTGGTAAAAAATTCCAAATTCCATTGATGAAATGCTATATTATTCTTAGTCGGATCGTTATAATTTTCGTTTATTAGAATCAGAACATAGAGTCAAAGGTATAGGATTTTATTTATTGGCTTTCGACAATCACGTGAAAACGGTGACATCGTGTCGCCATTTTCAAAATTATTAAAAAACTAAATTATATATAAATTATGGTTTAAAATAAAGTTATAATAATAATAATAATTAAAAACATATTTTAATAATAATAATAAAATTATTAAATGTTTTTTATAAAATATTTTTATTTTTTATTTTTAAATTAATTTTATAAATTATATCTTTTTTTTATGGTAAAAGAAGATAATTAGTACCAAGGTTTTTATTAAATTAATTTAAACTATTATATTTGAACAATCTTATATATACTAATATTACTACTAACTGTAAGTTTATATAATCTAATTTATTTATATATATAATTCAACTTATGTAAATTTATATCAAGAATGAATTTATATGTTAAGTAGATGTCAAATAGAATTATATAGGAAATAAAAATCCTGCTATTAGTTTAAATCACCTAATCTGTTAATCCATTTTTTGTTAAAGAGTATACAAGGTAATCTTTTTATACAAGCTAATTTAAAAATATCCTAATTACCTTTTTTCACCAAGATAAGAATATAGTCTTATTATGGAAATATATGTTAATACTTTAATAAATTATTTTTTTATTTTATGTTTTTGATTCACACAACTATAAATAGGAATCCTATATATATATATATTTCCTAATAGATGCTCTGAAACTATAATCCTTGGTTAATACAAGTTATCAAATCTAGAGACATAATTGCCAAGTGAAATGCAATATTATAATTCTTTTAATAGACACTCCAAAGGAATTTGGTTGACTTAAGCTATCAAATCTAGAGACATAAATGCCATACAGGACACAATTCCTA